CCCCAAAACCCCAAAACCCCAAAACCCTCAAATACTTAATTGAAACCATTTAATGAGATTTAATTTGTCAATAATTCCTAAAATACTATCATAATTCAACTCTTTGATCTTCTGGAGTTTCCTCCTCTGCTTCATTTTCTTGAAAAGTTCTTAGATTATCTGCAGTTTCTAAGTTTAATTTATCATCACCCTTAAGCTCTCCACAGTCAACAATTTTTATTTGAGTAAGTGGCTTATCTTAAGCTCCAGTTTGAATTTATTCAGCTATTTTACATATCTCAAGACCATTAATAACTCTTCCAAATACAGTATGTTTGTCATTCAACCAAGGTGTTGATTTATAGGTAATAAAGAACTGGGATCCGTTCGTATCAGGACCAGAATTAGCCATTGATAATAGCCCTGAATGAGTGTGTGGAAGCCAAATTTTTTCATCTGGAAATTTAGGTCCGTAAATTGACATTCCTCCAGTTCCATTCTAATTAGTGATATCACCTCCCTGCATCATGAAACTTTTGATGATTCTATGGAAAACGTTTCCTTTATAGTGAAGGTCATTTTTTTCACCAGTACAGAGGCATCTAAAATTTTCAGCAGTTTTTGGAGTTTTGTTTTTAAATAATTCAAACACAACTCTACCTTTCTAATGATTCTCATCACCCTCTTATCCAATTTCAATATCGAAAAATGTCTGTGGATTAGTGGCATCAAAATCTGGAAGCCTATCCTCTTTTTTAGTGACACTTGCTTCTTTCTCATTGTAAAGTCCTTAAGCAAAGAAATTTTTCATTGTCTTTTATTGAGATTCTTAATACTTCTTTCTCAAAGCTTTAATATTCTCAAATTCATCTCTTAATTTCTTGTCAGATGGTGAAATTTTAATAGCTTATTTGATATCTTCTATTGCCTCATCATATTGATGCATTTTGACATTAGCTTAACTCCTCAAATAATATGCTTTACCTGCTTTCTCATCTATATCTAAGGCTTTGGTGCAATTTATAAGAGTTTACTTATAATCGCCAGTATTGTTTGTTACTACTGAAATATTCAATAGTATTGTCTTCTTAAGATCTCTGAGCTCTTTGTTATCATTTTTGACTGTCTCTAAATGCGCTAGTGCATCTCTGTATAGACCCTCAGCTTCTTTATATTTTTAGGCTTTAAATTTTAAGTTTCCATCATCTTTCTACCTTAGAGCTACTTTAATTAGCTCTGAATCACTCATCATCCATCTTGTAGGTTTTCTGTCATTTATTTAAATGACTTCAACTGAAAATATCAAAGTAGCATCTCCTTGAATCTTTGGAGGGGCTCCTATTCTTCCATAAGCGTATTCAGGTTTGATTACTAGTTCTGCTTTTTCACCTAACTTCATAGACATTATACCTATATCCCACCCTTTGATAACTTGTCCAGTTCCAATTACAAATTTAAGTGGCTCTCCGCGATCACTAGACCTGTCAAAGATTGTTCCATCATCCAGTCTTCCCTCATAGTTAACAGTTACTTCCTAGTTTTTTTCAGGAATAGGATCAGTTTCTGAGCCAAATCTCAAGATTTTCTTGATTATTCCTGAATCTTTTGTCAAGTGTATCTCGTCTAAAACTTTTTCCATGGATAAGAAAATTCTAGAATTAAATTATTATATCTTTATCATTTAATCCAGGTTTCTTAAATGAATGGGGTTTTGGGGTTTTGGGGTTTTGGGGTTTTGGCTCA